ACTCTTTCCTGCCTATGCAGGGGGTTGGACTCGATGATCTATCGAGGTCCCTTCCGACCCTAACATCTATGAATCTATGAATTTTCTGACCACTGTCAGCACAGATACCCTTCCACATGAGCAAGTGAGAAATCTTCAACTATTAGCTGTGGAGAGTAGGCCTATATTTACATTTAGGGGCAGATCCAGAGTGGGTGCAGGGGCACAGTTGCACTCCTCTTTTGGACTGGAGTGTACCATGGGAGTCTCCAGGGACTTTTTAAATCCCTAAAGCAAGTGAAAATCCTCCTGTCCCTTCCCCTTCATGCAGAGAAGCATGTTCCCTCCCTTTCCCTGCCTCCCCCATCCGCCACGTCTGCTTTCCCTGGGGTGGGGGAAGCTCCAGAATCACTGCTGTGGGGGCTGGGCTCAGCTGGGGACAGGGACAATAGCAACAGTATAGAGAGGGAATAATTTCTCCCTCCCTGCCTGGTGGCTTGGGAGAAGACATGGAGAAATCCTGGCTCTGCCCTTGTCTATATTGCTTCTGAAGTGGTCTTGAGAATTTCACCAAGAAGCCTCCCCCGCCCACCCACTCTTGCTCCTCCTGTTAAACACAGCAATAAGGTGATGAAGCCTCTCCGGAGGTGCTGCCCACTGCCATCCTCAAGTGCTCTGTCTCCACTGCATTCAAGAGCAGCACTGGGGAACATCCTGAGTATGGCCTCATTCCTGGGTTTGGCACATGCACAACAGGAACAGGTAAATGAAGCTGTGTTACCAAGAGGGCTGTGGAAGATATCCAATGTCTCACACCCAGTGAAGCAGTTCAGATCCCATTCAGCAAGTAGCTATGGTGATGATTCTACCTTAATCAGAGCACTAGGATGTTGTAGGCTTACTGTAATGCTCTAGTCATCCTTTACTATCCAGCTCCCATGATCCTTCAGTGTCTCTACAAATGCAGCGATGTAGACAGAAGAGAGAGCCCTGGACAAACTGTCCCCACTGTAAAATCAATTATTATGTGCTCATCAATTCAAGTCCAGCTGGGTTGCTAGGGTCTGACTTCTGAAGTGGAAGGGACAAGTCTATTGCAGTACCATTAAGTCCCTACATAATGGGGCAGGCTGCTGTGGGTACTCTAGGCCAATGGTGCTGAACCTTCTAGCCCTATGGGCTAGATGAATGGTGCAGGGCCAGTCGGTGGGCTGGATCCCATGTGTGGGGTCAGCACACAGGGTTGGCATGGCTTACAGGCTGGATTTTGCCTGTGGGCCAGATGTTGAGCACCACTGCACTAGGCAGATGTATGAGCAATGTCCATCCCTTGAACACCTGGTTCAACTCCCTGCAGCATCTGGGACAATAATTCTACTCACTCAGCCCCTAGACTAGACTGAGCACTGAAGAACTTCCAGCCTCTGGAAAAGAAGTGTCAGATGCTGATGCCACCTGCTGTACAATTAGCCAGGGTATTTGGTATCATTGGGCACCTATACACGTGCTCCGATGTATTCTAAATCAGAATTCATCAGAGCAGACTTGATTAATCTAGTCTACTAGAGCATGCTAATCAGAACAGTCCAGCATGCTGCAGTGTCTCATGTATTCAGCATCCTTGTGTTTCAAAATGGCAGTGAGGGTACTTAAACTAAAGCTAATTGAACAAGCTCTCCGCTTTATCATATCACAAAGCTCAGGACAATCGGGCCTGGCGAGATTAAGTGACTTGCCTAACAAAAATCAGTGGTAGAGCTAGCCACAGAAACTGTGGGCCTGACCTTCTTCTGGGGCTTCCACCAGTATAGTGGCAGGTACAGCTGCTAAAGAGAAGATCCATGAACCTTGGGACTCTCCTCATTGAAAAGACTTTCCCATCAAGTGCCACGGGGAAGCTGCCTTCCTATCAGGATTAAATTTGAGCTGATAAAGGACGCAGAAGCCGTCCTGGACGCAGGAGTAGGGGTGGATGTCGTATACTTAGACTTCAGGAAGGCCTTCGATACGGTATCCCACCCCATACTGGTGAACAAGTTAAGAGGCTGTGACTTGGACGACTACACAGTCCGGTGGGTGGTGAATTGGCTAGAGGGTCGCACCCAGAGAGTCATAGTGGATGGGTCGGTTTCGACCTGGAAGGGTGTGGGCAGTGGGGTCCCGCAGGGCTCGGTCCTTGGACTGATACCCTTCAATGTCTTCATCAGCGACTCGGACGAGGGAGTGAAGTGTACTCTGTCCAAGTTTGCGGATGACACAAAACTGTGGGGAGAAGTGGACACACCGGAGGGCAGGGAACAGCTGCAAGCAGACCTGGACAGGTTGGACATATGGGCAGAAAACAACAGAATGCAATTCAACAA